TCAGAGGCCAAGGATTTTTTTTGCTTTGTCAATCTATGAGAACAAGTCTCTGAGAGAGATAAATATCAGCGTACACAAACCATGCAGATGCTTCTCTGTAAAATGAGGTTCCTCGTGGTAGGGTTAGTTACAAGAAGGAGCAAATAATTAGAGGGTTGGGATTTTTTCAACCCCACCTACCAACATGCAGGAAAAGGCATGGGGTAGGCAGTGCTGGAGAGTAAACTCTGTAKAAACTGTTGAGTCACAAGGTTTGATGAGCTTTCAGATTGCTGTATACAATGAACTGCTGGAAGGGCGTTGTACCTAGAGGGAGTGTGCCATCTCTGTGCCCTCCTTCATCCCTTACCCTATATATCTCTTTGTCTGCTCATCTCTGTTCTTTATAAACTGGTGAACATTGTTTCTCTGAGTTCCAGGACCATTCTATCAAAATATCCCCCAGAGGAGGAGGAGGTCATGGGAACTCCTAGTTTATACCAAGTTAGCAGCATGTGAAGCTCAGATTTATGATTGGTACCTGAAATGGGGGCAGCCTTGTGGGATCTGATGCTGTCTCTAGGTGGAGTGTCAGAATTGAGTTGAATTATAGAACATCTAGCTGGTGTCCAGGGAGTTGGAGAATCGCTTGCTATGGGGTGGGGGAAACAGAACAGCCCACACATGGTCAGGGAAGTGTTCTGTGCTGTACTGAGGATGAGCGTATAAGAAAAGATTGTTTTTTCCTTCATACAGTGTTAGATTTTCAACTGTTGTATCCTCAAGCTTTAAATTCTCATTCTCAAGAGAAGCCCCATTTATCATGCATTATCTTTTAAATATATATCTGATTTGGTTTTTAATATTTTATTGAGGATTTTGGGGTTTCACAAGAGGTGTATTTGTGTTTTTTCTTATGCCTTTGTAAACTAGTTTTATTACCAAAGTAATGGCCAACCTCAAAGAAATTTAGGAAGTATTTCCTCTTTGCTTTCTAAAAGTATTTGTATAGAATTGGTATTATTTCATCCTTACATGTTTACCAGAATTTACCAATGAATTTGTCATCCTAGAGTTTATCTGTTGGAAGATTTTCAATTAGATATAGGACAATAATAGATAAAGGACTCTTCAAATTATCCATTTCTTTTTTTTWAATATATTTTATGTTTTAGAGTATTTTTAGGTTTACAACAACTAAGAGAAAGGTACAGAGAATTCTCTTGAAGAGCCCTCTGCCCTCATATATGCATAGCTTCCTCTATTAACAGTATTCCCCACAAAAATAGTACGTCTGTCACAACTGAGAAACTTACATTGACACATCATTGTCACTCAAAATTCTTGATCAATTTTTTAAGAGACAATAAATCCTATTTTAGAGTTAGTGTAGCAAGGAATGTATTTCTGTATCAAAAATCCTTTGCCACAGGCTGGAGTTGTGGCTCAGTGGTAGAGCACTTGCCTAGCATGTGTGAGGCACTGGGTTGAATTCTTAGTACCACATATAAATAAATAAAGTCCATTGACAACTAAAAATAAAAAATTAAAAAAAAATCCTTTGCCATGAATTGATAAGGCATCCTTCTCTCTTCCTTTTTCTTAACAAGTTTTTTTTTTTTTCCCACTTTAACAAGGACATGTTTGTTGACATATGATTTAATACCTCTTCTTTGGGATTGTCAGACTTACTTGTCACATTCCTGCAGTATGTGATTGTCCTCATGTCACTGATTCGTTTAGCAGCATTAAGTATTGATATTTCTTCCTCAATCTGTAACTGATAGACAAAATAAAATTCTCATTTTGTTATTTCTTAAATTTACTATGAAGTTAATCATTTTTCACAAGTTTATTAGCCATATAGCTAAATTTTTAAAATCTTTGTTCTAGGTGTTCACTTTAGGAAGAAGGAAGCTTGAGATTGGATATTAATGATACCTTGCTATTTAAATCTAAAAATAGCCAAAGTGCAGATTAATAGGAGTAAATTAGCTAGCTGGTTTTTTTTAATTGTCATTGTACTTTTATTTTATTTATTTATATGTGGTGCTAAGACTCGAACCTAGAACCTTACACATGCTAGGCAAGTAAGTGCTCTACGACTGAGCCACAACCCCAGTCTTAGCTAGCTGTTTTGATGTCTTTGAAATTTCTCCCTTTTTGGACCTTGTTCTTTTTAAACCATTTTACCTTTGAGAAAGATTATCATCTAGAACTTCTATCCTACTCTATAAAATAGATGAATTCCAACAAACTTTTACATAAATTTATTTTTTAAATTAATTATTTGTSAGGTTATTTTTGTATGTGGTGCTAGGAATTGAAATCAGGGCCTCACATGTACTGGGCAAGCACTCTACCACTGAGCTACACCCCCAAACCTTATAGAAGGTTTTACTTCCTGCATTGAACCCAGGGGTACTCTACCATTGAGTCATGTCCTCAGCCCTTTTTATTTTATTTTTATTCTTCTGGCA